GTCGCGCTCCTGGGGGGCGCACCAGCCAGCAGCGGCTCGGGGCACGTTTTACAAAACTCCGTCCTGTTCCCTGACACGTCCGCCGGGGCCTCCAGAACCCGAGGCAGCAGCAGCCTTGGCATTATACCAATGAGCAGCGCAGCGGGCGCCGCCGGGGGGGAGGGTGAATGGAGCTAACAACAGTTAGGGGTGGTCCACTGGATGTTGAACTGCACTCGGGCGCAAGGCAAGCTGGGCTCCATGCCCTGCTCTAGCAGGTACTTCGCCACCCACGGTGCGCCGCTGTGCCTCAGTTTCCCCACTTTCCAGCTACTTAGCCACAGCGGCCACGCACGCCACAGACACGTTGACCTTTCTGCGAGACGACGGCCTTGAAGGATAGGCCCAGCAGCTCAGTTGACGGGGGCTTATAAGATCGCCACACAGATGTTTCCAGCTGGGCTCCGGACACCAGCGTGGAGCCAGGAGCCTCGTCTCTCACCTATGCAGGAACGTTGCTGCCTTTTTAGCCCTGCGCTGGGAGCCCGAGTCAGTGGCTCCATGGGGGTTTTCCTTGCAGTGGAGTCGTACCCTGGGGTGCGTTTGGGACCGGGATGGAGGCAGCTCACAGGTGCTCGGCAGCCATGCCCTTCCTTAGTAAGAGATGTCAGCCTCAGCCCAAGGGGCCCCAAGTTTGGAGTGTTCTGGCTTAGGCGGACCTACCCCCAGCACTCCAGCTGGAAGCTGTTCCCTGGCCAGTTGTGCATTTAAAATAAAAGTGGCAGGAGGCTGAGTGTGCAGCTAACAGGCCTGGTGGCAGCTCCTGCAATTGAGCAGGTAGGATGCTTAGCGACCCCCAGCTGCAATGCACCCACATCCTTGCATAGCCAGTGCTGCCTGGGGCTCAGCGCAGTGCAGGCTCTCACGGCTGGAGCTCCAGTCATGCAAGTGTGCTGCAAGGGTTTGTCGCTGGGGCATCACTACACAGCCCACCCTCTGCTGGCACGTCAGACTCCACAGTGTTGCCTGGAAGTTCATCATACAGGCGACAAAGTTGCTGGACGTGGCAGAAATGCTACCGTGCATTTATCCAACCTGCCCACGATCACACGGGCAGGAACTGAACTCAGCTGGGGCAGATAGCTATGATGGATAAAACAACTCACATGAGGGTGTTTCTGGGGAGAACAGGTTGGTGGGCTCAAGTCCTGCCCACCCTGGGAGCGGCCACACAGCCCACACAGACACCCGGGGATGGAGCTGACGTTCACATTAGGAAGGCAGGATGAGGGACCCACCAAAGGCAGGGAGGGTAACCAGAAGTACAGCTGGAGCAAGCTTTTATGGCATAGGAGTTTGGCACGTGTTTGCCAGAGCTACTCAGGGAAGTGGCTGGAATTGTGCTTGGAAATGGTGTGGAGATCTAGGAAGGCCAAACATTACAGGTTCCTGACGGCCTAGCCACAGCATCATAGACTCCTCAGGCTGCACGAGACCTCAGGAGTCATTGGCTGCGTCTAAACTGGCCAGTTTTTCCAGAAAATCAGCCGCTTTTCCGGAAAAACTTGCCAGCTGTCTACACTGGCTGCTTGAATTTCCACAAAAGCACTGACTTCCTACTGTAAGAAATCAGTGCTTCTTACGGAAATACTATGCTGCTCCCATTCGGGCAAAAGTCCCTTATGCGCAAAAGGGCCAGTGTAGACAGCTGAGATTTGTTTTGCGCAAAAAAGCCCCGATCGCGAAAATGGCGATCGGAGCTTTTTTACGCAAAAGCGCATCTAGAGTGGCACGGACGCTTTTCTTCAAAAAGTGCTTTTGCGGAAAAGCATCCGTGCCAATCTAGACGCTCTGTTCTGAAAATGCTTTTAACGGAAAACTTTTCCGTTAAAAGCATTTCCGGAAAATCATGCCTGTCTAGACGTAGCCACTGGGGCCAACCTCCTACCAAAAGCAGGACCAACCTCAACTAAATCCCAGCCAGGGCTTCATCAAGCCGGGACTTAAAAAAAACCTCTAGGGCTGGAGATTCCACCCCCTCCCTAGAAAGCCCATCCCAGCGCTTTACCCTGCTCTTAGGGAAATAGTTTTTCCTAATATCCAACCTCAATCTCCCCCACTGCATCTTCCCAAATTCAAGGGGAAGGCATTTTTAATCACCATATTTCTGGCCCCAGATTGTTGCTGGCTGTCCGGTACAGAGCGACCTGCCCTAGCAGACCCCTTGACTGCATCATTGCGCAGGTCTCTGACTCACCCTGCCACAGCATTGATGGGCAAAAGGAATTTGTCCCGTGAGAACAGCCGCCAGGCCAGCTG